CAAAAAAGTTTTCCAAATTTGATAAGAACTATAAATCTACAGACCCAAGAAGCTTTAAATGAGCTCCAAACAGCATATAAATAAATATTTAAAAATAAAAACTAGACTAAGGTCCATCAAAATCAAAAACGTGACAATCAATGATTAAGAGAAAATCTTAAGAGCAGCCAGAGAAAAAAGGCATTTTAGAGAAGTCAACCCTAATTAAAAAATACAAAGAAAAAAAACAACAAAAATAAATCTTGATGTGACATACACTAAAGGCTAAGAATCTTTGAAGGAATACTGTGACTCCCTTTCTTCTAAATATATGACTTTTCCAATATATATTTTACCTCGTTTATTATATCATTTATATGAAATACTAAAAAAAAATTTTTGAATCTCTTTTCCAATCTGGATTCCACATTATTCCCTTTATTTTCAAAATACATATTCAAATCACTTTTGAAATGTATGTAAGTTTGCTTGTTAGTATAAAAAGTTTCCTTCCCCTGTGGATCCCAGGTATAAAAAAATAACTTGTAAACTGAAGAGTTAAGAACTGAGGTGAATCTATCCAATATTACCCAAGAATTAAAAGGAATGAATGTACTTTCCAGTAGTCAAAATGATAAAGGCAGAAGGTAAAATGGTAGGTGCCAAGTGCTGCAGGGAGGGAGTAATATGGAGTTACTGTTTAATGGGTACAGAGTTTCAAAATTATAAGATTAAATGATTTCTGGAGACGGATGGTGGTGATGGTTGCACAACAATATAAATGTACTAAATACCACTGAACTATGCACTTAAAAACAGTTAAGATGGTAAATGTTATGGGTATTTTACCACAATAAGAAAATGAAATGAAATTGTTTTAAAAAAGGAATTAAGTATTAATACATGCTACAACATAGATGAACCTTGAAAACACGTTAAGTGAAAGAAACCAATAAAAAAGGCCACATGCTGTATGACTCCATTTATAAGAAACATCCAGAATAGGCAAATCCACAGATAGAAGGCAGATTAGTAGTTGCCAGGGGATGGGGAGTGCTGGGGGTAATGGGGGGTGGCTGCTAATGAGTATAGGGTTTCTTTTTTGGGGTGAAGAAAATGTTCTAAAGTTGATTTTTATGATGGTTGTACAACTCTGGGAATATACTAAAAGCCATTAAATTGTACACGCTAAATGGGTGAACTGTCTGGTATGAGAACTGTATCTTAATAATTACTATTTTTTTAAAAAACTGAGGTGTAGTAGTTACCCAGCTTACAACTAGTCGGTGCTCCTCTCCCTTCTTCCCGAGTGCCACCTGTAATCCAATGTGAAAACATTTCAAGTCTGTTCTCTTATTTCAACAACTTTCAATCTGCACTGTCCTGTGTGGCCTTGGTTAAGTTACTTAACTGTGGTAACTCTTAATTCTCTTCATGTATCACTTACCTCTTCCTGTATGCAAGGAGGACAACAAGGGTTCTTGGGAAGAATAAATGAACTATAAAAAGTTCTAGAACAATGACAGAGTTTTTAAAATAGTGGGTGCTCATTCACTACTTGTAGACCTCAAGAACAGGTCTGTGCAGAGCAATGAAGCTTTAAAGGTAAAAAGACCCAGAGATGCAACATTAGCACATGGCAAATTCTGTCACGTCATGCTTCCTTTCACACCCCCTTCAGAAAGGAAGAGGAGTGAGGTATTGTCAGATTTATTTTTCTCCTTAGCCATACATCTCCATTCCTGTAGTTACTTCATACTAAGGCTGTCATGTTGATCCTAAATCCAAATTTCACCTTTTATGAAAGGATAGATACCTTACATATATCTCCAGTGGACAGACAGAAACCTGCCAAAAACTTACTTAAGTCCTTCACCAAATACCCTCTAAATGAGGGGGACAAAATAAAATCTTGGTGAATTCACGAAAATAAAGGTCATCCTCAAAAAAACAAAGACAGGGAAGGCCCACTAAATTGGGGCCTTTTTTTTTCTTTGTCTCATTCTCTTTACCTAATTTCCTAGGCATAATGAAGAAAGAGAGATTTCTTATCTTCCCTTATCACAAATTCTCCAAGGCCAAAAACTAGAGAGAAGTCTGCTGAACCATCTATACTCAACACACCTCTAGAAGTCCAGAAACTCAAGAATGCTGTTTTTATTCAGTGCCTTTTAGCATACAGAAAGAGCAGCTCCATGCAAAAAAAAAAAAAAAAGGGAGGGGGCAGATCTATATGTCCTGACACATTAAAAATTGTTCAAAATGTTCTGTTAAGTGAAAATAGTTGCTAATTACTATATATAATACAACCTGTAAAATATAATTATTTTAATATTAAACTAATTTGTGGGTCTATGAATGTCCACAAATATATGGGTATAAACAGAAAAATCTGGAAGAACATACAGAGCCTTAAACAATTAGCAGTAGGCCTCACTGAAGGGGAGGGGTATGGGATCTTTTACTGTCTACCTTCCAAATTTCTGTACTGTTTGAAATTTTTATATCAAGAATGCTTACTTTTATTAATATAATCAGAACAAAAATAGCTCGAGGAAAAAAAGAGAAAGTTGGGAGAACTCTAGCTACATTACAGAACTCCAGCTCTACTATCCACCTAACCTCCTACACACATCACCGCCACTCATACAAGGACCACTACTCTCGGGCACAACAGGGACCTTTCTCTGCAACGAAAAATGACACAACTCTCCAACAACCTCCTCTGCACTCTGGAGAATTCAAGAATATCAGAGCCATGACTGTTGAGAAGGAAGAATCATTGCCCAGAACTCACCAGGTTTGCCAGACATTACCAAATCACTTCCTCCTTCCTTTTCTTGGACTTTCTTTGCTTTCTTTTTAACAGGTCCATCATTTTCCAGTGGTCTCTTTTTACTTCTGTCAATTTCTGCAGCCTGTATCAGAAAGGTTAGAAAATGATGTGTTATCTCTATTCTGAGAAGGTTTGATGTATGTTAAATAATTTAAACCTTACATCTGAATGACAGCAAGTTCCTTGCCATCCACTCTTCACAGACTCATCTAATTTTAGCTCTGGAAAGGTCTAAGGGTGAATTGTTTTTACCATCATCAAAGAGAAAATGGAGACTCTGATGACATGGAGGTCACAGGCTCAGTACTTCAAGCCCTTTTAGAACTAATTGAAACCAAGTTTGCTACCTTTCTTTATTCAATCAGCCTTCAGCTATCTCAAATGATAGAATTTGAATAACTTTACTTACATATGATAAATAAAATACATCTAAAACATAACTATCCATTTAGCAAAGGCACAATTACAGAGAAAAGATAGATAATAAAAGAACACTATCATTTTTAAAATGTTAACTGTAATTTAACTGTTTCCTGTGTAAAGGGCTATGCACCACTGAAGATGCAACAAGATTATGAGTTTTTTGTTGTCAGGAAACCTGCCAAAAAATTTACTTAAGTCCTTCACCAAATACCCTCTAAATGATGGGTGCAAAATAAAATCTTGGTGAATTCATGAAAATGTAGGTCACCCCAAAAAAACAAAGACAAGAGAGAAACAATCACTTTAGGGGAGAAATATAAGTGATGGCAACAAGATTTTGAAGCAGTCAATCTGTCACTGGCATTAGGTGACTAAAAGGCAATCTGTAATCCCCTTCCACATCCTCAGTTAGAGAAAACTGTGCAGGGAACCCCAGTAAGGGCTCACTCACCCTTAGGCTTTCTCGTGGCAGTATCCCTGGTTTAAAAAAAGAAAAAAAGAGCGACTGGTGGGCTGGGCATGGTGGCTCACGCCTGTAAGCCTAGCACTCTGGGAGACGGAGACAGGAGGACTGCTTGAGCTCAGGAGTTCGAGACCAGCCTGAGCAAGAGCCAGACCCCGTCTCTATTAAAAACAGAAAACTTAGCCAGGCGCCGTGACGCGTGTCTGTCGTCCCACCCGGGAGGCTGAGGCAAGGAGGATAGATTGAGCCCAGGGGTTTGAGGTTGCAGTGAGCTGTGATGACGCCACGGCACTCTACCCGGGGCGACAGAGCGAGACTCTGTCTCAAAAAAACAAAAAAAAAACAAAGTAAAACTCTTCAACCATCAATCCAGAGAAAAGAGGGACGATGGCGGTTAAAAGATGCATCCCTTGCCCACCGTTTCTCCTCTCATCAGAATGGGAGTCAAAAGACCTGAATCCCCGCCTCAGGCCTGCCAGTAAAAACCTGTGTGACCTTGGCCTCAAGTCTATTGCCATAAACAGAGGTAATAAAACCTTTGACCCACATCTGGTGTAAAGACTCAGCTGTGCTTCTCCCACTCTCCTTCCCCGGCCCCGCCTACTTCTCTTCCAGCCCCATCTCGCGGATCCTCCCGCCACACACACAAGCCCCGCCCCACCCCGCCCCGCCCCCTTTCCCCGAGGGGGCCCGCCCGACCTAGACACAACCCACCACGTGCGGCAGCAACTGGGGCGGGAAAGTGGACGCTGGGGGCGCTGCGGAGTCAGAGTCCGCCTTGTCGGCTGCACCCGTGGGGGAGGAAGTGGGTTTCAGGCTTCCCGTAGACTGGAAAAATCGGCTCAAAATCGCTTGCCCCGCAAGGGCTGGGCCGGGGGCAGCGAGGCTGCCCGACGCAGGCTTCCGGCGAGACATCGCTAGGCGGAGAGTGGCAGCCCCGTGGCAGGGCCGAGCCGGGAGCGCGAGCCCGCGGCCGCAGTTCCCGGGCGTCTGCGGGCGCGAGCACGCCGCGACCCTTGCCGTGCGCTGGGGCGGGGGGCGGGGCCTCGCCTGCACAAATGGGGCTGAGGGGGCGTGGTGGCCGCAGTTTCGCGCCAATCTCGGTCCGGCTTCTGAGAGGCCCGAGTGAGCTCGGTAGTGTTTGCTGGTGCCGCCATGGTTCGTACGCTAAACTGCATCGTCGCTGTGTCCCAGAACATGGGCATTGGCAAGAACGGGGACCTGCCCTGGCCCCCACTCAGGTAGGTTCCGGGCCGGTGGAAGGCGGAGGCTGGCGCAGGCTCCCCTTGATGGAGGCACCTGGGCTGGGGTGCATCGGACCGACTCGCCGAGGGAGGAGGGGGCCGGACCTGCCACCTGAGCGGCAGGAGTGGGTGGGCGCGGGCTGGCGTCCGCCTCTGTAGCGCGGGAGGCCAAGCAGTTGATTTTGGTTCGGATCCTGCTGACACGCGAGGCCTTTGCTCCTTGGCGCCTTGTACTAGAGCAAAGTCCCAGCCCTGGAGGGACACCCCCGTCCCAACCCGCGGGGCACCATTAGGCGCATTAGAGGTCGAACCCATGAATAATGTTCTGAGTAACGCTGTGTTTCTCTAACTTGCAGGAATGAATTCAAGTATTTCCAAAAAATGACCACAACCTCTTCAGTAGAAGGTAATGTGGAATTTTTAAGTAACTGAGGTGCGCGAAGGGTCTTGTTTGAGGAAGCTGACCAATGCAAATGTTATTAAAATAGAAAGTTTTCCATGTTAATCTGTAACTTTTGCTCTTACTGTTGATCTGTATGCAGTTCCCAAGGTTCATTAACCATTTTTTTTTTAAAAAATATTTCTTTGAATCCTTATGTTAGTGCAGGCACAATTTAGGTATTGGGCTAAATTGGCAACTGGGTAGAGGCTTCAGTGGAGGTTAGCGCTCCCAAAGGAGACCAGAAGAGGCCTTTAGAACAGCTGCTGGAAGAGATAAGGCCTGAACGAGAGCAGTGGACAAGAGAGGATGAAAATTTTTAAAACGATTACATGATGCTCGATTTAGAACATCCGAAATTTAAAAGTGATGCATAAAAGCATCAAGGATGAACTCTCTGATTTTCTGTTTGAGAGTTTGGATGGCATAGAGAATAAAGGAGTAGAAAACTGTGTGCAATTGTAATGACAAGGCACCTGTAGGACATCAAGGATAATTTCAAGCACAGGGAACTGCATGAGTTGAACCATTGAAGAGAAGGGGATAACCAAGGACAAGAATATGGGGGTGAAGGGATACCCCATTTAAAACCTAAGATATGTGTATTTATGGGGTCACAAGAAGTAGAATGGCAGAGAAAACAGAAACAGAAAGGAGCAGATGATACATAAGTTTAATGGGACAGATACAAGACCCTTGTATTTGGCACTTAGGTTACTGGCAGAAAATCTAGTGACTCTAATTACATGATTACAATTGATTAAAAGTAAATATTGGATATAAATTGGATAAAGCCAAAGGGGGAAAATACTTATATTTAGTTGATGAGTGATAAATGTGAATTTTGGTAAAAATCTTTTAAGGTTTAATTTTTTTAAAGGAGATCCACTAGTTGCCAAAATGACAAATTGTATCTATGCACATATATACAGTAAGTATTCATTTAACCTCATGGACGGGTCCTTGGAAACTGTGACTTTAAGTGAAGTAATGTATTAATATAATGAAACCATTTTACCGTAGGCTAATTGATATAAAGAAGAGTTAAGTTCCTGTGGCATATTTCTTATCACAAAAACATCACCAAACTTCTAAAGACAGACCCCCAACACTTCTAATATTACATATTGAAATAAATGTGAGCTATACATACATTTAAGAAAGATTAATAAAAAACAGTAAGATAATAATTTACCGACTTATTCCATTTCAGGATTGTGGGTAGCCAGCACCTGTCCTGGCAGTTCAGGGTACACTCACACACACACACCTACCCACACTCAGACAGGGACAGTTTAACACTCTAATTCAGCTAACGTGCTCATCTTCGGGATGTGGGAGGAAACCAGGGTACCTGGAGAAAACCCACACAAACATGGGGACAATGTGCAAACTCCACGCAGACAGTGGCCCCAGCCAGGAATCAATTATTTTTCTCATCAACATTATAACAAAACCATGTGGAGTGAAGCAATGTTATTTGAAGACCTGCTATATATAAATATATGAAAAAATATATATAGCCTCAAAATATAATTATCCTTTCTATATAATTTTATAGGTAAACAGAATCTGGTGATTATGGGTAGGAAGACCTGGTTCTCCATTCCTGAAAAGAATCGACCTTTAAAGGACAGAATTAATGTAGTTCTTAGTAGAGAACTCAAGTAAGTACTGTAACATAAATAACATTTTTGTAGTTTCACATAAAATCAAAATACCTATGTTTTGGGACTTGCTAAAATTAAGTGACAATCCCCCTTGGATCCACCCCTAAATGTAATAAGACGTGAATTTTATGATGGGCTGAAACAGGTCATGATCTTCTGCCTAGTAAGCTACAATACCCAAATAATACTTCGTACTTCTGTTCATTACCCAGTGTCTGAAGGTAAAAATTTTCAAAGTATTGAAATGGTCCTAGGGATCATGGGAAGGAGGGGGTGTCTCCAGTTGGCCTATGCTAAGAATTTTCCTGCCCTCCAATCTAACATTGCAGTAGATAGTTCCTGATGCCTGGAAATGCCCAGGGGGCTGGGAGGTGGAGGGATAATCACATTAAGATTGCCTAAGAAGTCAATTCCAGTGGTTTGACGTTTACCATGGCTTCCATGTTATTTACTCCATGTGTGATATATTCTAATTTCTATTTTGTTTATTTTTGTTGTTGATGACATTGGTCCTAACCCACTAAAACAACTTCCTGAACCTTAGGAGGTTTTTCTTTTAGGAGGAGGGCTTTGACCAAAATTGGACCTAAGGGAAAGTTCAGGGCCTGGAATGTTAACCACCCTTTCTTAAATTGATAATGTAATCACCAAAAAAAAATGCAGTATCCTAGGCACTACTTGCTTGAGAACAATGTTCATAATATTCCTTTCCCATGTATGTATATTAATGAGGGTTCAACCAGAGAAGCAAACCTAGTAAAAGATGTTTGTATATGTATATATATTAACGAGTTTTATTGCAAGGAATTGGCCTATGCAATTGCAGGGGTTGGCTAGGTGACTCCAAAAATCTATAGGGCAGGCCATCAAGAAGGGCAGGCTGGAAATCTTCAGCAGGGACTAAAGCTACACCGGGGAAATCTTTTCTTCAGGGAACCCTCAACTCAGCTCTTAAGGCCTTTCAACTGATTGAATCAGGCTCACCCAGATTAAAGTCAATGAATTGTAGATGTAATCACATCTACAAAATACTCTTACAGCAACACCCAGATTAGTGTCTGAATAAGAGGGTTGGGGGGATAGGGACTGTAGCCTAGCCAGGTTTAACACCATGGGAAAGAAAAAATATTACACAGCTTATCTGCTAAGGGGATTCAGGCTTACATAGATTTTTTCCCAAATTCCTCCTCCAATGGCATAAGTAAAAACCTAGAAGAAAGTGTATCAGAATATTTGCATTGATTGCCTCTGGGTGATGGGGAATTTGTTGATGTGCATCTTGCCATCTGCTTCCATCTTCATGCTGTTCTTTCTCTTGGTTGCTAGGATATTCTGATTATCTTCTTCCTTGGCAGAATTGAGATTCACAGACTATATTGCCATTCCCAGACATTCTTTAATAGCATTTTTGAATACTACTCGTTTATTTATGGCTAGCTTGAGCTAAAACAAACATAAAGAAATCTCAGTGGGGGAGATGTTCAGTTGAGCCAGCGTTTCTCCTCAAATGGTGAGTCTAATTTCTTCATTATGACACCCCCTGTGGTGTGTGTAATTGGATTTGGTTACTTATATATAAGATTTGTTGGTGTATTTCACTTTTTTTTTTTTTAAGCTGAGAAAATTTAAAGTCTTTATTATTAAGCATGCCAGGGAAGTAGTGACACCAGTTAGTAAAAAATATCAGAGTTCATTTTTTTGTCCTTCCCTACTTGCTGGTCAGTACCATACATATACTGAGTACCAGTATATACTAAGAATATACTAGAAATGAATATACTACAAATCACTGAACTGTACACTTAAAAGGGTGACTTGTATGATGTGTGGTTTATATCTCAGTAAAGTGGTTTTAAAGTCTTTGGAACCAAAAATTAAAGAAATTTTACTGCAGTGCTGTAGCCTTGACACCATCCTTAGAAAATCCCTAGTTATCTCCATATGATATGTTATAGTCTCCAATCCATGAAAGTTAACTAAATTTCATCGTGTATTAATTTTTATGATCTCACTATCATATTCTCCACAGTGATTAATACCTTCTCTTCTTCCCCACCGCTCACACACTTAGTATAGCAAACACTGACTGACCTGGCTTCTTATATGTGCAATGGCATCTAGTAACTTTGTGGCATTTGGCAGGTTGCAAGTAAGTCTTGGTGAACCTCAGTTTCCTTACCTACTAAATGGGATTAATGATGACGACTTCTTACGGTGATTTTGAAGATTCACTGCAATTTTGTATATAAAGTTTCTGGCACATAGAAAGGTACAGCTATCAGTTCTACACCCAGCCTCCATCTACTTTACAGCTGATAGAAAATATTAACATTCATAAGATCACACTGAAACACTGATCTCATTTCACCTTAACATATCAATTTATTCTTGCGAACCTGAGACAGAAATCTCCTCCTACCTAAATCAACTCTCTCCTTCCCCACTGTATTCTACATTCTGTTTTTTTCTGTCTTTGGCACTTTGTTCCTTTGTCCCACTCTATAGTATTTTAAACTTCACTGCAGGTTACTTTTTTTCTACCTTCAACTTTCTCAGAGCTTTCTTGTAAATAACTTAGTATAACCTTCAGCAATTCTATAGTAGTGTGTCGTGTCTGTGCTTATGCACATATTTTTCTCCTTTGACACTCAGCTAAGGAATCATGCCACGAAGAGTTCTTTCATCAACCTACCCTTCTATTCTCCTATAGCATCCTCTGCACGACTGCATTATATGTCTTTTCATACTTTGTGGCCACTTCTGAGCTCTTTCTCTGCCATCATGATTTTTGGGGGGTATAGGACTGTATATTTTATCTATTCATCAAAGTAAAGGTAGTCGCACAAATTTTTGGTTTCCCAGTACATATAAAAGTTTATGCTATAGTCTGTTAGGTGTGCAATAGCATTTTGTCTAAAAAAAAAAAAAACTGTATACGTTAATGAAAAAATACTTTATTGCCTAAAAATATTAACAATCATCTGAGTCTTCAGGGATTCATAATCTTTGGGCTGGTGGGGGATCTTGCCTCAATGTTGATGGCTGCTGATTGATCAAGTTGGTGGTTGCTGAAGGTTGGGGTGGCTGTGGCAATTTCTTTAAATAAGACAACACTGAAGTTTGCCGTGTCTATTAACTCTACCTTTCACCAAAGATGTCTGTTTAGCATGCAATGCTATTTGATAGCATTTTACCAACAATAGAAGTTCTTTCAAAATGGGAGTCAGTTGTCTCAAACCTTGGCTCTGCTTTATCAGCTAAGTTTATGTGATATTCCAAACCATTTGTTGTCATTTTAGCAATGACCACAGCATCTTCAAGAGGAGTAGATTCCATCTCAAAAAACTACTTTCTTTGCTCATCCATAAGAAGCAGCTTCTCATCCCTTAAAATTTTATCATGAGATTGCAGCAATTCAGTCACATCTTCAGGCTCCACTTCTAATTCTAGTTCTCTTGCTGTTTCCACCACATCTACAGTTACCTCCTCCACAGAAGTTTTCAATAGCTCAAAGTCACCCATGAGAAACTTATTCCAAACTCCTGTTTTGATATTTTGACTTCCCATGAAACATGAGTGTGTTTATTTGTACAAATTTATGGGGTACAAGAGAAATTTTGTTGCATGTATATAATACATTGTGATTAAGTCAGGGGATTTAATGTATCCATCACCCAAGTACAATACATTTTTGTTAAGTATAGTCACTCTACTCTGCTAACAAACATTGTATTTATTCCTTCTATCTGACTGTATGTTTTACCTTTTATCCCATATCTCCTCATCCTCCCCGCTTCCTTCCACTTACTCTTCCCAGTGTCAGTCTCTGTTACCTATTACCCCCAGGTGATCAAATTTTTTAGTTCCCACATGGACATATGAACATGCAATATTGGTCTTGTGCCTGGCTTCTTTCACTTAAGATAATAATTTCCAATTCCATCCATGTTGCTGTAAATGCAGGATTTCATTGTTTTCTGTGGCTGAGTAGTATTCCATTGTATATATTTACCACGTTTTCTTTATCCATTAATCCATTGATGAACTCTCGGGTTGATTCCATATCTTTACTATTGTGAATGGTTCAGCATTAAACATGGGATTGTAGGTATCCCTTTGATGCTGATTTCTTTTCCTTTGGGTAAATACCCAGTAGTTGGATTGCTAAATCAAACGTTAATTCTATTTTTCGTTTTTTTGGGGTATCTCCATACGGTTTTCCAGAGTGGCTGTACTAGTTGACATTCCCACTAACAGTGTTTAAGAGTTCCCATTTCTCCACAGTATCACCAACGCCTGTTATTCTTTGTCTTTTTAATAATAGCCATTCTGATTGGGGAGAGATAATATCTATCTCATTGTGGTTTTGATTTACATTTTTCGATTAGTAATATTGAGTATTTTTTCACATACCAGTACCATGCTATTTTGGTTTCTATAGCCTTGTGATATAACTTAAAGTCAGGTAATGTGATACTTCCAGCTTTGTTCTTTTTGCTCAGGATTGCTTTGGCTATTTGGGCTCTTTTTGTTCCATATGCAGTTTAGGATTATTTTTTCTAGATCTGTGAAAAATGACATTGGTATTTTAAAGAGAATTATGTTGAATCTGTAAACGACTTTGGCCAGTATGGACATTTTAACAACGTTGATTCTTCTAATCCATAAGCATGTGATATTTTTTCATTCGTTTGTGTCATGTATGATTTCTTTCATCAGTGTTTTATAGTTCTCATTATAGAGATGTTTTGCCTCCTTGGTTAAGTATATTCCTAGGTATTTTATTTATTTATTTATTGTTAAATATTGTAAATGATACTGAGTTCTTGATTTGACCCTCAGCTTGACTGCTATTACTGTATAGAAATTCTACTGACTTATGTACATTAATTTTGTAACCTGAAATTTTATTGAATTTATTTATCAATTCTTGGAGTCTTTTGGTGGGTCTTTAGAGTTTTCTAGATTTAAGATCGTATCATTGGCCAAGGGGGATAGTTCAACCTCCTCTTTCCAGATTTTGGATACCTTTTATTTCTTTCTCTTGCGTGATTGCTCTGGCTAGGACTTCCAGCTGAGAGTAAGATACTGAAGTCCACCACTGTCATTGTATTGCAGTCTGCCTCTTTCTTTAGATCTAGTAATACTTGCTTTATGAATCTGGGTGCTCCAGTGTTGGGTACATAAATATTTAGAATTGTTATATTCTCTTGCTAGATTGATCCCTTTGTCATTATATAACAACCTTCCTTCTTTGTCTTTTTTATTTTGGTTTTTTGTTTGTTTTGGTTTTGGTTTTTGCTCTTCTTGACTTAGTCTGTTTTATCTAAATCCTGTTCACTGTTGGTTTACATTTGCATGGACCATCTTTTTCCATCCCTTTACTTTCAGTCTATGTGTCTTTACTGGTAAGATAAACTTCTTGTAAGCAGCATATAGTTGGATTGTGTTGTTTCATCCATTCAACCACTTTATATCTTTTAAGTGGAGAATTTATCCATGTATGGTCAAGGTTATTACTGATATGTCAGGCTTTGTTCCTGTCATTGGTGAATGTCTAAGTCTCTTGCTAGACTTGAAGTTTTCATATATTTGCTAAATAGGTTTTCTAATTCTCTCTCTGTTCCTCTGCCCTCAGGGATACCACTAATTCAAATATTCAGTTGCTTTATATTGTCCCAGATGGCATGAAGGCTTTGCTCACTCTTTTAAATTCTTTTTTATTTTTGTCTGACCGGATTATTTCAAAAGTGATAATAATCATTTCTTATTTTTAAATTTACTTTCATAGGGAAGGACTTTTTCCTGACAATGTATGCATGGTGTTTGTTGGGTAGGATACTTTGGCTTTGATTCTGGGTGTGTACAGTAGTCTCTGTATGATTTCTTTAGCTATAAACAACATTAGTAGCATCTGTGACTTCCTCAGTGGGTTAGTATGCAGTTCTTACTGGAGGTCATGATAAACTTGTGCTGGGGACTAGGATGCCGGGTGGCCCAGTCTTCAGGCCCCAGTGCGGGCACCGTTGGGTTGAGCATGCCTATCTTTGCGTCCCAGGGTGATGTACAGTCTCCCCTGTGTGGGCAGTTTCTCAGGCCCCTGGGCAGCTGGTATGGCATACCAGTAGCAGTAGCAGTGGCAGGCCAATTATCTGGGTCCCAAGTGGTGGTGTGTCAATGTTGGCATTGCCTGCAATGGGCTGGGTGGGCCATTCTCCAGATCCACAGGTGGTGCCTGCAGGTAGGTTCCAGCTGAGATGGTAGCAGCCAGGAGTTTAATCCCAACAATAGCCCCTTGGGTGGAGTACTTAGGTGTCCAAGGTGCTGGATTAGAGTGAGCAATCCCCAGGATCTTGGGCTGTGTGCTCCATCTTGGGAGTGAGGGGTGAATCTGTATTGGATGGGCTTGTGCTCAGGCCTCCCAGTGGTGAGAGTAGGCACCAGCCATGGTGGGTAGACCAAGGTAGAGTGCTTAGATGAGGAGTGGTAGCAGCCATGCTGAGGCCTTGCCACTGTAGAGAGTGGGGGCGTCCTCCATGGCCACAGCCTGGGCCAGCAGGTGGAGAATGCACATCCCTCTCACACCCCAGTCCCAGCAGCACTAGGTCACACCTAGCTCAAGGTCTCACTCTGTCTCTGTCACCCAGGCTAGAGTGCAGTGGCGTCATCATAGCTCACTGCAACTGTAAACTCCTGGGCTCAAGTGATCCTCCTACCTCACTCAGCCTCCCAAGTAGCTGGGACTACAGGTATGGACCACCACACCCAGCTAGTTTTTTTTTCTATTTTTTTGCAAAGACGGGGGTCTTACTCTTGCTCATGCTGGTTTTGAACTTCTGACCTCAAGCCATCCTCCTGCCTCAGTCTCCCAAAATGATAGGATTACAGGCGTGAGCCACCGCGCCCAACCTAGGGTTTGTGCTGTGAAGGGGCTGATGAACTCTCAAACATTAGCTTAAATTTTTTGCTCATTCTTTTTTACTCATCTCAAAGTTCAGTGTTCCTGTGAAACTTATTTCTAAACTACTAAATAACATTCTGCAGAAGCATTTCCTCCATGCCATTCTTTGCTGTAACTTAAATCTAAAACAAATCTTTAACCTTTTCCTTGTTTTCTTTTACAGACTCACTACAAAAGGGCAAGGAAGTAGTCTTCACCTAATCCCTTGAGCCATTTTTAAGACACTGTTCCACAATATTTAAAAATTATTGCCCCCTTCATTTAAAGTCCACGCCAACTGTTTATCACTTTCTAAGTCATGCTGCTATTATCCACCAACTTCTAGGATACCTCTTCCAATTTTCCTCACATGTCAGTTCCTTAATCGCCATTTTCCATTCTATTCTGTTTCCTGTCCTCAATTCTGACTTTAACATCCACAATTGCTAAAACTGTCCTAACTCTGTTTTGGTCATCCTAGACTTTGTTAACTAGACTGTCTTCTCCCCCAACTCCAAATCTTTGTATCTCCTAGATTCAATTCTCTCCAAGAACAGCCCAGTCCAACCTGTAACTGCCCTGATACCTTAGAAGATACCTTTCCTCATTTAACTTCTCCCTGGCCTCCATGTCTTTTTCCAGCCTGAAACAAAGTATATTCTTTGCTCTTATAAAAATTACAAAGAGTGAAATAAGTATAGTACATAAAAGGAGGAGAGGGAGGAGGGAACCAAGAGAATGAATAGTCCACATTAGTTATTGATTAATCATTGTTTTAACTACTGGTTTAAAGGCAATCATATAATATTTTTAAAGCACCAGGCTAAGAACTTGACATTGAATTATAATTTCTGTTCTGCATGTAATTACTATGAAAGCCTAGTTCTACATGTTTCCTCATTTATAAAGGGAAGAGCAACTCCCACCCTCCCCTCCCCTGAAAGAAAAGTTTTGGAGGTTGGGAGAGATTGAGCTAGTCAACATAAACGTTGAAATTAATTAACTTTTTCCCTTTTGGATTTTTAACTACATAACTAATAACAAGCTCATTTTTTAATACTTCACCCATTTCTGTATTGTTTGACGGAATCGGGAGCATTCAGGGCGGTGTGGCCGTAGACCATTTCTGTATTGTTTGAAATGTAAAAATCCATTCCCACTTCCAAAGGTAACCACATATTAACACTCTGAGTATCATTCCAAACTTTTCTGCAGTCATTCAGACTTTTTCTGATATCTTCTTGTGAAAATTTTTAAACGTACAGAAAAAACTTGACAGTAAACAGTCGAATACCCACCACCTAGATTCTACCATTAACATTTTACTGTGCTGGCTTCATCACATATCCAGCCAGCTATCTTGTTTGTCTGCATTTCAAAATAAATTGCAGACATTAGTATACTTCCCCCTAATACTTCACCATTCATATTGTTAACTAGAATTCAGTGATTCTTTACAGTTATTTCTTTTGAAGTAAATATGACATAATGAGATACACAAGTCTTACGTGTACATTTGCTAAGTTTTCACAAATACACACACCTGTGAAACCCTAGCCCTGTTAAAAATATAGAATATTACCTTCACCCCCAGAAACTTCCCTCATGCTCTGTCCCAGGTAATCTTTATCCCACTCCACAGACAACTACTGTTCTGTCTTCCACCACAGATATCACGAGGTATCACATATGGTTTTGTTTTTTGATTCGTTGTGAACCATAGATGCACATATGTAGGTTGAATTACTGGTCATCGGCCAAACTGATGTTAAGTGCTTTCTGTTGAAAGGATTCATATTTATGATGATTTTAGTTTTATAATCACTGTTTTCTACCCACATTATTTGAATAATATGGATGAGTTTTACAAAAACTGTGTGATTCTTGGCCCGGCTCGGTGGCTCATGCCTGTAATCCTAGCACTCTGGGAGGCCAAGGCGGGCAGATCGTTTGAGTCAGGAGTTTGAGACCAGTCTGAGCAAGAGTGAGACCCTGTCTCTACTTAAAAAATAGAAAAGAAATTATCTAGACAACTAAAAATATATAGAAAAAAAATTAGCTGGGCATGGTGGTGCATACCTGTAGTCCCAGCTACTCGGGAGGCTGAGGCAGGAGGATTGCTTGAGCCCAGGAGTTTGAGGTTGCAGTGAGCTAGGCTGATGCCACGGCACTCTAGCCCGGGCAACAGAGTGAGACTCTGTCTCAAAAAAACAAAACTGTAATTTTTTTTTTTTTTTTTTTTTACCTCAGGGAACCTCCACAAGGAGCTCATTTTGTTGCTAAAAGTCTGGATGATGCCTTAAAACTTACCGAGCAACCAGAATTAGCAAATAAAGTAGACATGGTTTGGATAGTGGGAGGCAGTTCTGTTTATAAGGTAAGTAAAGTTACCTGTAAATGTAAAGAAATGTTCTACCTTACTTTGTTTCAGCTTCCCTGCCATTTAAAGGGGGATGGAGGGGCATAACCCATTGTCCAACCCTTAAAAAAATTAAGCCATAGACATAGGAAGCAGCCCATTATCCCTATATAAATCAGACATGTTGTCAATTTAAATTATTCATTGTTTCATACTATCATACAAACTAAGTAAAAACACAAAAGTAAATGTCTTAACTCTGTACTAATCTATTTTATTTATCTTTTTAATTGACAAATAATTGTATATATTGTGTGCAACATGTTTTGAAATGTATACATTGTAGAATGGCTAAATCAAGCTAATTAACATTTGCATTACCTCACTTATTCTTTGTGGTGATAATAGTTAAAATCTACTGTCAGCAGGCCGGGCGCGGTGGCTCAAGCCTGTAATCCTAGCACTCTGGAAGGCCGAGGCGGGCGGATTGTTTGAGCTCAAGAGTTCGAAACCAGCCTGAGAAAGAGGGAGACCCCCGTCTCTACTAAAAATAGAAAGAAATTAATCGGATAACTAAAAATATACAGAAAAAATTAGCCGGGCGTGGTGGCGCATGCCTGTAGTCCCAGCTACTCGGGAGGCTGAGGCAGAAGGATTGCTTGAGCCCAGGAGTTTGAGGTTGCTGTGAGCTAGGCTGATGCCACGGCACTCTAGCCCGGGCAACACAGTGAGACTCTGCAACACAGTGAGACTCTGTCTCAAAAAAAAAATCTGTCAGCAATTTTTCAAGAATACAATACATTGTTATTAACTATAGTCACTGTGTTGTACATCTCTTGAACTTACTCCTCCTATCTAACAAATTTCATGTCCTTTAACACCTCCCCATTTATCAGTCAATTTTCAAATCAAAATAGTTGATATTTCCAATTTGATAGCCATTCTCGATCCTTCCCTGAGAATGGTACTTGCACTGTACTATTTTCTACTCCCTGGATTTGCCCTAGATACACTGAGTTATCCCTTTTTCTTCCAGGCTAAATAAGTCTCTTACTGAGGAAGGGAGTGGGTTCTCAATTGAAGGACACGAACTAGATGTATATGAATTTGTTAAAAGCAGGAAAATTTTTGTCATTTTCATATAATGTGAGGGCATAGGGGAAGGATTGCATGATTTTGTAACATAAAGAGAAATGGTATGTAAAAGAGAAGTTTGTTTTTTTTTTTTAATACCAAATGACTTCCAGC